TCATAATATTGACCTGGTTTGTGGAAATTGTCCTAAGTATATTCTTAGGGGCTGAATTGGGTTTCTCCCAACCCAAATCTGTATGTTGAAGTCCTAACCTCCAGTATTTCAGAATGTGATGTATTTTGAAATGGGATCTTTAAAGAGGTAATTAAGTTAAAATGAGGTCACATGGGTGGGTCCTAATCCAATATGACTGGTGTCCTTATAAGAGGAGGAAATTAGGACCCAGAGACATCCACCGAGGAAGGCCACGTGAGGGCTCAGGGAGGAGATGGCCACCCACAAGCCAAGGAGAGAGGCCCCAGAAGAAACCAGGCCTGCCAGGAGGGAAGGAAGGAAGGAAGGAAGCAGGAAGGAAGAATGAAGAAGGAAGGGGAAGAAGAAGAGGAAGAAGAAGGAAGGAAGGAAGGAAGGAGGAAGGAGGGAAAGGAAGGAAGGAAGGAAGGAGGAGGGAAGAAGAAGAAGGAAGAAGAAGGAAGGAAGAGAAGGAAGGAAGGGAAGGAAGAAGGAAGGAAGGAAGGAAGGAAGGAAGGAAAGAAGGCAGAGGGAGGGTATTTTGTACTGAAGATCTAAATTTCAAAATGAAAAAAAAAAAGAGGAACAGACTCTTAGACCAAACCTCAGGGGCAGGTGGAGATTTTGCACTGTAACAGATCTTTCACATTAATTTTGCATTTATAAACTGTTTGTTCTTTAACACAGTTGCCCATCATAAATATTCATTGAATGGATCCAAGTTTATTTTCGGCTCCTACAGCTGTGCTCAGTTTGAGGCTTTGCACCACGGAGGTCAAAGAGATCAAACTAGCTGTCCCTTTCTGTTTCCTTGCCTTCCCTGAACAGATTGCACAGGCCTCTGCTGTAGTTTGGGGACCTTGACTACTAGAAAAGGATGTCCCAGGGATAAGGAAAGCAGTCCTACATTTAACATCGGGGTCTCTCTTCTCCGCTTCCGAGACCTTGCACCAGGAACTGCCTTTTGGCGATGACTTTATGGAAACAAACTGGGCCCTTTGCCCTTTCCTGTTTGCCAGCATTTCGTTTTGTGCATTGAAAATCTGCTGAAATTATTTCTTTATTCCACACATCTAAGGAGGAGGATGTGGTGGAGGAGGAGGGAGCCCAGTACGTTCCTTGAGTCCCGGGTAGGCGCATGGCCTGCCTGCTGCAGCTTAGGAAGGACGCCCTTGGCTTGGGGTGTAACCCTGCAGGTCACCAGGTGGCAGGGCAGGGCATGGTGGCACAAAGCAAGACCCGGTAGGGCTGCAAACTGTCTGTGATTTAGCTCTTGAAGACTCATTGGGCCTTTTAAAACCCATGACTAAGGCTTAAAGGACAACACACACCATTGTCTGGCTGGAAGAGTAGCTTGGGGCCCATCACTTCTGCCTGCCATTAGCACAACTGGACAAAGAGCCTTGACAACCTCTGGCCCACGCACGTGTCGGTTCTGTGTCCCTGACAGGCCACCCGGATGTGAGGTCTCCCCTGTTTCTCGCTGTCTTTGGTGTCGATGTAGTTGGAGGCAGAACTTGAACCAAATCTCACTTTTGTAACGTGAGCCTCTGAATCTTAAAGGAGGACGCTCCTGAAGAACTTTTATTAGAATGTCCCTATCAAACATGTCTATTTTTCTACGTTATTGATAACACAGTTTAACAGTGTATTTTGTGTCAACTGTTAAAATTGGAACCGAAAGACGTTCACCGAGACTGAATTTTCTAAGCAGCAAGTAGAATGGTGTTTTTCATTAAGACAGTTCAATGAAATGATGGACCACACACTTTCTACTCATTCTATTCCGCAAAATCCGACCCGCTCGCTGTCACTCCCTTAGCAGATCAAGTGCTATGAAGATAAATAATCTATTTTAATGCAACTATATATCCATAGCTAATGAAGACCACTCTCAGCTCAATATTCTGTTTGGTTGATGTATTTGAGTCACTTTTCCATAAAGCATAGTAGGATCGTGAGCCAGAAAAGAACTTTGAACTAAAGGGTTACCGTTGCCACAGTGGACCCCAATCTGACAGGACAAAGTGCTCCCGAGAAAAGGCAGGTTCAGCTAGAAGCGTGAGCTCCCGGGGGCTGCTGAAGCCCTGGATTCATACTTACATCCACCCCAACGGGTCCCCGACTGGAAGAGCACCTATGCACTTATAAGTCAACTTATGTCACTAATAAATTATGTTATTTTATAACATAGCGCTCTGTGTCCACAAGGCAGAACCTCTCTCTCCCCTACTCCCTTCCTCCATCTGTCCTCTCTTTTGACCTTTCCCTGGTTTTCCAGTCCCAACTCTATTGTGTAGTTCAGCATCTTACGTTCCCTAACAGAATCCAGCTACTGTCTCCAAACTGTCGACCTATCCTTAAGCACAATTTCTCTTGCAGGTTTAACAAACTAGGGCCTGAAATGTCTATTTTTCATTGTGCTCTTATTTAAAAATTATTTATGACTTCATTTCAAAGCCTAAATTTTGAATTCTCCAGAGCAACTTTCTTATGCTTTCTCTCCCTACATTTTCTCACCTTTCAGGTTTCTTACTTTTTTCCCCGTCCCCACCCCTTTGCTTTTTCATTTAGATTTAAGCAGTATCTTTAGGATATTTTGAAACTGTTTACAAAGATAGGAGCTGGTGGACAGAGAAAAGGAGATGTAAGAATGCTGTTAGAAAATACCTGAACTCACAGAAGAATGTGAAATGGTTTCATTGGTGGAGAGAATGCAATTAAACTATTCACAGTAAGTCACTTGCAGAACAGCTCGCAACAGTCTGGCTGTTCTTCAGTCTTTCTTTCCTTAACTTGAGAGATACTCTGCATGATTCAGAAGAGTCAGGAAGGCAGTTGAAGATGAAATGTGCTACAGACATGGCAAACCTTCTATGATGACTTCCTTGCAATGGATGGCTATAAAGTTGAAAAACATAGCAATACATACTTCAGAGATGATCACTTAAATTACACAACAATAAAGTGAAATCATGTTATGTTGTTCCAAACTTTATGGCCAACCTGGATTTAAGGAAATGTTAGCTTTTAATTTTAAAATTAGTAAAGCACACCTCTTTCTAATGTTTGGTCCCTTGACATCTTGAGTGCTTTTGATGTAAAGTGTCAGCTAGAAGTCAAAATTCTGTCAGATGGCTGCCAAGAGATTTGACAAAGCACAGAATGACAATCATAACAAATAACATCTTACCCACATGCCATGGTGTTTGGGAGCATTAGAGCACTTGCACAAATTATCTTATTCAATTCTAATTCACCATGGGAGGTTGAGTATTATAATTTACATTTTATAGAGGGAGAACGAGGGTTTGGGCAAACTAGCCATGTTTCCAAGGCCAGCAAATCATAGACCCTGGTCTCAAATACAGGTCAAGGGGCTCCAGCCAGGGCTCTTTTATACAAAAAGTTCAGCAAAGTAAATCTGCTAACAAAATCTGGCCCACTCCTGTTATGCACCACTTTGAGCTAAAAATGATTTTTACATTTTAAATGGTTGGGGAGAAAAAAAAAGAAGATGAATCATTATCTCTTT